CATTTTGTATTTTTGGGTAAGAATAAGAAGCACTTCATCCGGTACTTAGTGTCTTTCATTCCAACATAAGAAAACATTTCTGGAATCTGCATCTGAAATAGCATTTAGATGTATTTACACAGTTTAATGTAGTTCAGAGGGGACATGGATGCATTTAAACTGCAGTTACAGATGCATAAATGGCCTAATGTAAAAAGGCCTAATGTTTTGTTTTTAACATAAAACGTCGAATACAAAATCATTTAAATCATTTAAAACATGAAAAAAAGTCGAAATGTGAAATTAAAACCACCAGTAGGTGGAAGGTTAATGAGTTGTTAATGAGTGAGTCATTGAGATTCAACCGATTCATTCAAACGACTGATTCATTCAGAAACAAAGCATTTGACTGTTTTAATGAGTGAATCACTGAATCATTTATTCAACGATTCATTCAAAAAGCTGATTCATTCAATAAGTAAACACCGTCCATTGCTCAGAGATGCAAAACAGTGCTGTGATCTTTGTTTGGAACTATTTTTGTTAGCAAAATTGAGCAAAAACAAGCAATATTATGTCTAAAATGTAAGTCACTTATTTGGTGATATAGCTTACTTGATAATGTCCGATCGCACATCATTAACTTACAACAACACTTACCATATCGCAGACGATGCTGTATCGCACACCCCTGTAGTGGAGTAAAAGTAAAAGTTGGCTGAAATATAAAAACTCAAGTAAAGTACAGATACTCCCAAAAAATATTTAAGTACTGTAACGAAGTATTATTACTTTGTTACATTACACCACTGGTTACAAGTATCACAGGCACATCGTTTTTCCATTTTCGTTGCATAAACACCATCAAACCGATGAAAACTTCGGATCTTCTAATGTTTCTCTATGGTGCTGAAACCTACAGATGTCCAAGTTCTGCTCCACGTGCAACTGATACTCGACTGCCATTGGCTCATCTGCATTCGAGGGGAGGGGCTTACCAATAGGTCAATTGGCTGGCAGCCAGACAGCAACGTAATGACATCATATAATTAAGATCAAGGAAACCACCTTGATCTTAACCACAAAATGACAAATGTTCTGATACATAAATAAAACGTGTAACTGTTTTTTTAAGCAATTCCAAAAAAAATTTCCCCATTTCCAGAATTTATACATTTTTCGCATTTTTCAATATATTGTAATTGTAAGAGGATTTGTTATACGTGACAGCATTTAAGTTTCTTAATCCATATGATCCATCTTAGGACATACTGTAACTGACTGTTTAAATTAATTGTGCATCATAAAGGCATTTTGAGATTTGAGAAGTGAGACTGCATCTCCTGCGATGCACCTGCATAAAAGCTCACCGTTCAAATTAATGCACGACCCAGACAAACTATATGTAATGTCTGTATGACTGCAATAAACGATTATTGCATAGATTATGCAACATTTTTATTATTTTCAAAATAATTTCAAAATTATCTTTTTAAATTATTTTTCCTGGTTTAATAAGGTACACATGTAAGAAAATAGCAGTGGCTGGGAGACACTTTCAGTATCACCTTCACTTAAAATGATACAATCTAATCTTGTTTACGTGAAATAAGCCTGCTCCCGGGCAGGTCTGAGCTAACGGACCTGTTGCTATGACAGTAACTCTAGGATGAGCTTAAAAAAAAACTTAATCCTTGATCATGTCAAATCACCAACAATAAAATCCAGCTAACGGAGTAATCCACGTTAAAAGAATGGACCCCCCGGGATCAAACAATAGCTCAAACAGCAGAGCATGGCACTAGCAACGCCATGGTCATGGATTAAATTTCCATAAAAATATGGCACATAGTCTTAGAGTTTGTACTTGACTAACTGGGGCCCAGGTCAGGAAGCAGACAGACTGGCTAAACCGACCGTCTGCTAGCCGCTTCATGTCACAGAAATCAGTTAATTCTCAGCACATAGAAACTCTTTCACCTAGATATCACACTATAGAGACTGTGTCTGTTCCCCGAACTAGAAAATACAAAAAACGTCCAAACCAAATTAAGAGTAACAATTTAATTGATGTTCAACAAATAAAAAACGGATGTAATACGGATAAACAAATGATAAAGCTTGGCTTATTGAATATCAGGTCCCTTTCTACGAAAGCACTTTTTGTAAATGATATGATCACTGATCATAAAACTAGATGTGCTCTGTTTGACAGAAACCTGGCTAAAACCTGATGATTACATTATTTTAAATGAGTCTACCCCCCAAGAATACGGTTATAAACATGAGCCACGTACAAAAGGTAATAAAGTTTTAATTGTTGGTGATTTTAATATCCATGTTGATAATGAAAAAGATGAATTGGGATCAGCATTCATAGACATTTTGAACTCTATTGGGGTTACACAACACGTCTGTAATCCGTGCGCTTGTCTGTTCAGAGAGGAAGAGAGTCTAATAATTCCTCCAAGATCATATTCATGGAGATTAGGGCTGTCAAAATTTTTTTCGTCGAATTTAAAATAAAAATCCACATTCGAATGCAAAAACGTTGCATTTGAATTTTTGTTGTGCGTTAAGGAGGCAGCCTTACCAGCGGCGCACGAGATGCGATGACGATGTAAGTGTCGTTACATTATAATGTTTTTGTTAGCCTATCCAGTTGAAGCCACTAGATGCGGCGCTGCTGCGTTGTTCATTCAAAATATAGCGGAAAAAGAGAACATCAATGCGGAGAAGATCTTGTTTACATCAAAACCAAAACAAAGCCATTCAGACAGAACGCAAATTTCATTTTCATTTTCTAGACGGACATCAATTACTGTTGCACTCGCGTCTCGCACAAAGGAGCCGCATGTTTAGAAAGCCATGTAAAATTAATGCAAGTTTAACTTTGAAAAAAACATATTGAGACTTTATGCGAGTTTTAGGTTTTTTTCTCCATTCTGTCACCGATGGAGTTTAGGTTCCTTGCCGCTGTCTCCTCTGGCTTGCTTAGTTGGGGACACTTAATTTCCAGCGATATCGTCGACTTGATTGCACAGATACTATTTAAGCTGAACTGAGCTGGATGATGACATCACTGAATTCAATGATGAACTACCTTTAACTAAAAATTTAGTGTTTACTATTATCATTTTGCATTATTGACACAATATTTTCCTAATTAATGCTGTACAGTTGCTTTGGCACAATCTGCATTGTGTATTATTGTTTAATAATGTTATTGTTATTACTTTGCCTTTTGATTTTCAGCCTTTCAAATTTATTTAAGGAATTTTTTTTTTTTATGTTTGTAATAATTTTTCTCTTAGTTCAGCCTTCTGTGTGAAACAACAACTGATAAGATGGATTAACAACAGATATTTGTATCTCTTGTATGTGTACTGATCACTTATGTATTGTGTGTTGACTTTTTTTTGTCATGATTGGGTAGGGCAGAGGGACTGTATATAAGGTATTATTATTGACTAGTTTTGTACTTTTTATAATTTTTTACTTTTTTATTGTTATCTTGTCTCTTCTTTATTTCTCTTTTATTGTGATAATTATTGCAATTACAATGTAAAACTCTGTCTGGAACAGACAATGCAATAGTGGTAAAAGCATGTTTACTCACACTTATGTGTTGCAACATTACTGTTGGATCCACTCAAGTCAGACTCTGCGCTGCCATCATCGTTTACTTTCTATCTCTCTGAAAAGCCTGGATCTTACTGTCTTGTTTAAAAATGAATCCGTAGCCAAGTAAAACCGGTGCTTAGCCACACTATTACGTCATAAAGTGGCACATTCCAAAACGAGTCCTTTTTTGAGCTTGGTTTAAAAAAAAAGCGGTTTTTAAACTAACAAAAAAGTTTTGAAACTTACAGGATGTTTTTATAGTATATTGACCTGTTATATGTCAAAAAATCAAGGGAAATTTGATTTCTCAGTTCATGACCCCTTTAATTTTCATTTGATTAATTAAATTAAATGTCTTAATTTGATTACCAGAAAAATTTAAATACACAACACACAATTTCTGAAAAAAACTAATTTCATAGGGCCCTATTGTTGTAAAAGTGTTTTTTTTTTTTGTTATTAATGCAACTGATTAGCCATGCTTTTTGATTATTAAAATTGAATTACATCATTAAAATGGAAACCAGAAAAGTTGAATTGAAAAACTGAATTTGAAAAAAAAAAAAAAAAAAAAAGGAATTTGGGATAATAAAACTGACTTCATAGTGCCTTACGTATAGCAACATGAAGTCATATCTCAACTCCACAACATTGTACAGTGGTTGGCTCTCTTGCAATCACGCAGAACACTTTACAACTGCCTAGTGCAAAGTTTTGTCATGGCAAGTGCCACTCACATCTTTAGAAAGTGTACATGTCTAGTTCTACTATAGGTGCTCATCTCTTCTCTTTTCCCTCTCCTACTTTGACAGAAACTTCAGGAATTTCAGCACAGTCTTAGTTGTCAGCGCATTTCCAGGTCATGCACTGTTATAGCCATTCCTCAATTCCACCTTTATTCACTCATGAATCTTTTTGTAAATGAACTCTGTGATTAGAAAAGAAAAATGACTACTAATGGTTTCAAATACAAAGCAAATTACATTCTGCTTGCATTCACCTGTTAGCTTAGCTTTCTCCACATCGGCATTGCCATCTTTTTTCGGCTGAAGTACTTGCATCCTCGATTATACTTTATTCAGTTCCTTTTCTTTGATTAATAATGGTTGTCTGACTCCGCATTTCTGCCCACCCACTCATTTCACTCATCTGAACAGTGAACATGTATTTAGCATTTTAATTTCGGGTGATAAACATGACTGACTATGTGGAGCTACTGATTATGTGGACATCCACATCATTTTAACTGGAAGTCCCGTTTCCAGTCTTCCAAAAAAAAAAAAAAAATTTAAATTAAATTAAATTAAATAAATAATTCAAAACACATTACATTCTCCACCAAATCTCAGTTCTATTACCTGCAGTTCTAGGATAAGCTGTTGAAGGTTCCGGATCACCTCTATATTCTCCTTCAATTCCTGGTCTTCCAGGGTTTCCACCATCTTCTGTAGGTCCACCTTACACCTAAAACAGTGACAAACCTTTTCATTATTGAGAATTTGTTCAGATTTCTAAGCATATTCATGAACCTCACTGGTCCACAGATTGGTAAAACATTGATACTTACGCTGCATGCTGCCTCAACTCCTCCAGTTTGCTTTGCAGTTTCTCATTTGTCTGCTCCATCTAAAGAACAGCCAAACAATTAAATTAATACACAAAATTAGAAGAAAAATGGTTTAACCATACAATAAAGAAATTAGGTGGCAAAAATAGCCAAAGCTTCTATATTGCCAAACAACATCACACCCAGAATCAACATGTCAACGGTGGGTGAATGAACAGTGATTAAACTGTATTTAGCCATTAACCCTTTTTATTTTACCAGCAAACCATGCAGAACATTGGTCATTTTCAGCATCAAACACAGATAATGGATAAACTAACATTCCCTGAACCACACAGAAGATGATGTCCAAAAAAGTCTTACCATGATGATCCTTTCAAACATAAGAGCCGTCTGTCCTACAGCCTCACTCAGCTCTCGGCTCAGCTTGCTGTTTTCACCTTGCAGACAGCGATTCTGCTCCAGGATGTTTGACACATTCTCTGCTGGCTCAGACCTGCAAACCAAACACATCTTGATGAATTAAGCTTTGAAAACAAATGACATCAAAAGTCAAAAATCAATAAATCATGTGAGGACATGTTAAAGTAGTTTTATCAGGGTTAATGCTAAAAGGATAGTTCACTAAAAAAATTATCTGTTCTCAATTACTCAAGCTCATGACATTCTAAACGTATAAGACTTTCTTATTCAAAACACAAGAGAATAAGGAAGCTGCAAGCAGCAACACTACGGTGCAATCACTACCTGTTGGTTTTAGTAAAACATTGCATGGTGGGCAAATGCATTTATCAGGGGTTAAAGCAAAAAAAAATCCTGAGCCTGAACTTTTTTGGGGGGGTTGGGGGTTGCGGGGGCTGGGACACATACACAGAATGACATTTCTGAAATTGTTTTTTTCAAAAGAAATAATGGTAAATTAAATACTAGGAAATGAAGGACTAAAATCAGATCTCACTTATCAATATGGTTATTATCTTTCAAATTCTAATAAATAAACTAATAAAACAAAATGGTACAAATAAAGTGCAGCACATGCAAAGAATGCAATGACTGTGGCAACTTTAACATTTGAAGGAATACTATGGCAAAGTTATCGCTTTCCATATTCAAACTAATTTTTTTTCATGAATATATGGTTGACCTGAAGAATGAAAGCTATATCATACACTTGGATCATGCTGATCATGACCTGTCCCGGTGACCCTGATCGCGCCTGACCTTCCTTCCGTTTCAATTATACGCCTTCCGTTTCCACGATACTCTCTCTCACACATACATACATTTTTCTCTTACATACACATATTTTCTTCAGACATACATTATATATATATATATATATATATATGTATGTATGTATGTGAAAGGAGAATGTATGTGTGTGTGAGAGTAGAAATGTATGCATGTGAAAGGAGAATGTATGTGAGTGTGAGAGTAGAAAAACCACCAATGACCAGTGGTGGGCCGTCAGGGCCAGCAAAGCCTTCTCTGCTGGCCTAAACACTATCAGAATCACTGATTTAGTTTTAATATATTTTTCCATGAATGTGTATTAAATTATTTCCAATGTCTATTCTCTTCAGTTCATAGCTTTTCCCTTGGTTGCACTGCTTCCAACAGTGTATGTTTATATTAGAGCTTTTATATCCAATCATATTTCAGCAATTGTGTTGCCAGAGTCAAAGAAATCTGCCTTAAGGCCTTCAGAATCAACAGTGAAGGCGTCGGTTAGCTTAAATCAATGGCAATGAAACCGTTGCTTTAACCAAGACTGTATTTGTGTCATTTTGTTAGGTTAATGCTTCAGCTACAGATAATGTGTTGTGCAATTGTTAATTGGATTTCTTTCTTTAGTAATGGCATTCATTCTCGCTACATAAGATACCTGTCTGTTATGTAGTGCCCGGTTATACTGCATTACTGTGTAATATTTATGGTTTCTATAGCCGTGGCATCATTATG